CAATTAATTAATAAAAAATTAAAAAAATTTAAAATTACAAAAAAATGGCCCATAAAATTACAAAAATATAAGTATCCTATAAAAAATTGCAATTATATAAGTACCCTATAAAAAAGCTACAAAAATAATGGTTGGTGAAAATTGTATTTTGGCCTTTTACATGAGTAAGAAGTTATAATATTTGTATTATGTCATTTATATGCTTAGGGAAGTTAATTTGTATTAATTTTTTTATAAGATATTTATATGTAATTTTATTTGTCACTTTCTATAATTTTCAAGTCTTTTTTTTTCAATTTTTAAGCTAAGTAATAATAAAAATTAACTTTTTTAATAACAGGATATTCAATACCCTATTTTTAAATATTGCAGGATAAAATTACACCACATAAAAGTTGAGAATACTAGATATTCTTAAATGAATAGTTGAACGACAAAAATAAATTTTAATTCTTGAATTAATAATTTTAAATTTTCAAGATTTCCTCAAAGAAAAGAATTGAAAATGTAAATTCAAATAATTGGAACTTTAAAAACTTTAATTACAGAAAAAAAAGATTCAAATATAATTACGAGATTATAATTGAAAATTTTATATATTTGTAACTATAAGAATTTATATTTATAATTTATTTTTTAAAAAAAGTTGTTCTAACTATCATAATTTAATTTTTTGAGGCCTAATTATCATTCTTACCACATGTTGTGCTTGGCCGGTTAGAAAAGTAAGGGGAAAGGAAAAGTGATAGAAGAATGGCGAAAAAAGGCATTTTCTCCTACTTGGCTAAGGAAAGAAAATGAGAGAGAAATGAAATTAGGAGAAAAATAATATATAAGATGCATATATTTTTTACTTTTAACTTTTCTTTTGCATGGTTTACTATGGTGTCATTTTAAAAATAAAAACATGTTTCATATGTACATTAAAGTAAGTTATTATTATTTTTTTATGAAGGAAATAGGAAAGGAAGTAGATTCTATAGATATGAAGGTGGAAGTAAGTTCTACCAATGTTAATGGAACTAGATTTTTTAAAGAAGTCAACTCAATATACCGAAGAAACTATTTTTTAATTCTACTTCTCCAATCCCAGTTCCATGCTATCAAACCAAACGAAATAATTAGTAGTACCATCCTCAAACTTTAGATTATAAAATAAAAAAATTAAGCTTTAAAAAAATAAAATAATACCTATTTCAAAATTTATAAAAAAATGATTTTGAAATATTATTGAAACTAAATATATTCAAAAAATAAAATTTTTATTTAAAAAATTCTTTCATATTATTTTAAATTAGTAATAATAATATATCATTTATTAATATTTTATAATAAACATAAGCATTGCAATAAAACATGATATTAACTTAATTAAATGACTTCAGTAACAAAACTTAACTAAATGACTTTTTAATGAAAAAATTTTAAATATATTTTTGTCAACGTAGTAAAAATATATCGACTAATTTGCCGGGAGCACTTATTCCCATTTTTGGTTAAGCCGAGGAGCGGGTGTGCTTGGGTTGGAATTGGCAATATTCATCTTCTGAGATGTCCATTTCGGAACAAGCAAAAGACAATATGTGATAAAGCAATAATGAGGCTCACAGAATTTACTTAGATGGGTCTGGGGCATGATTGTTGAGGTTAGGTGAGATCTACCTACTCTTAACGATTTTCATTGATATTATATGAGATCATTGCTTTTGTCTTTAATTAATTTAATGCTTCTATTGTATTGATAAATTGCCTTTCCGCATACAATACTGAATATACAGATCTGGATTTTGGTTCTCTTAAGTATAAACTCAAAGGGCTGGTCCAAATTTATCCCTTTTGCCCAACAAAATCCAGTCTCATGTATGTTTTTGATCTGGAAAAGAAAGAGACAGACTAAGTTTAGGAATTGAGAATGTAGAGGAAAGAAGGAAACCATGAGTTTCAAAACAAGGCCATAAAAGAGAACACTAGAGTTTTCCGGTATATGAGAAGAAAACATCAAAATGAAAGCCTCAGAAAAAACCATGGGCTTGCATAATTGCACATGTATGTCTACCCAACCAAGCTCTCTAATTCCACCCCCCCCCCCAAAAAAAAACCAAGTAAAAAAGTGTATGGATAAAAGGAAGCAACCAAAATAGAACAAGCAAAGAAATACTATTTTTATCTCAAATCATAAGATAACTTTAGATGTATTATGTCATTTCAAAATATAAGATAATTTAAAAAATAAAGTTTTATTAATTATGATTTTTCAATATTAGCCTTCAAATAGAGAGAAAATCAAATTGATCGCAATATAATAATTAAGTGTGTAGATTTAAAATTATATTAAATGAAGGATATTTTTAAAAGTTTATATTTTTATTTTAAGAAATAAATTTATAAATTTTTTAAGCCAAGTAATAGTAAAAATTAACTTTTTTTAATGACAAGATACCCAATGCACTATTTTTAAATGTTGAAGGGTGAAATTACACCACATAAAAGTTGAGAATATTAGATATTCTTAAACAAATAGTTAAAAGGTAAAAATAACTTTTAACCTTTGAATTAATGATAGTTAAATCTGTAAGATTTACTCAGAGAAAAGAATTGAAAATGTAAATTCAAATAATTAGAATTTTAAAAAATTTAATTACAAAAAAAAAGATTCAAATATAACTCCGAGATTGATTTCTATATATTTATAACTATAAGAATTGATATTTATAATTTATTTTTTAAAAAAGTTGTTTTAACTATCATAATTTAATTTTTTGAGATCTAATTATCATTTTTACCCCTTGTTGTGCTTGGCAGGTTAGAAAAGTAAGGGGAAAGGAAAAGTGATAGAGGAATGGGGGAAAAAGACATTTTCTCCTACTTAGCTTGGGGAAGAAAAATAAGAGAGAAAAGAAATTAGAAAAAATAATAATATGTGGGATGCATATGTCTTTACTTCTAACTTTTCTTTCAAGATATAGAGAAATTTTGAAAAAAAAACTCAATTTTTAAATTTATCCATAAATCTTTTCATTTCCTTTCGTTTACTTTCTTTTGTTTTCATCCTAATTTTCACTCCCTTTAAAAACTTAGATTATTATACACTCAGTAATTTAAAAAGTAAAAAATTTAATAATTTTATTATTAACATGAGATAAAAGAATTTACAATTATATTTTTATTTAATCAGTAATATATAATAAAAATTATATAAATAATAAGTTAAAATATTAAATTTTAAAAAAATTGGTGAAAAGGACTTTGTTAAAAAAAATTAGTCTGACCAAATATAATTCAAGGACCAAATGTAATATTTTATTTATTAAACAATATATACAAATAACCAAAATACTTGTCTATTTTAAGTCAATGAAATTAAAAAAAAAAACAAAAGCTATTCATTTAACACATGCACATCAAGTCAGAGCTTTTCACCTAAGTTGGAAGCTTGGCACCCTAGCCAAAAGTTTTGTAGCTAGAAGACTTGCACACCTAGGGGAGCAAGGGTTCCGATTTGAGTGAAAGGCTTTAGCTTAGGGTGTATGTGTTGGATGAACAATCTTTGTTTTTTTTTTTTTAATTTCATTGGTTTAAAAAGAGAGGTGTTTTGATCTTTTGCAAGTATTATTTAATGAATAAAATATTATATTTTGTTCTTGGGACTAATTTTCTTTTCAATAAAGTCTTTTTCACTAATTTTTTTAAATTTTATTATATATAAATATTTTTTTAGAGACAATAAAATTATTATTATTTATATAAAATTACCCCCCCTGCGCTCAATGTCGGCTAGACATAAAAGGAAAAACTTAAATACATTAGACCTATTCTTTTCTTCTTTTGGCAAATTTTTCTAGTGGGAGGCTGACAGCATAACATTCGGGGCGTGAGAGTGATCAGACAGCCAGTATGCATGAGGATAAGGTGCTGACGGTTGATGGGGTGACCTTGCTGCCCTACAACCTGTCAAGTCACGGGATGCTCAGCAACTCGCGGAGCACCGACGTGCTCATCAATCACAAAACATCTGCAATGGCCCAAATTTTTTACTTTTAATTTTATATTCATATTTATTAAAATAAATATTTATAATTTTTTTAATAAATATGTTTTCTGAATAGTACTGATCTAATTTGATATTATAATTTCTTTGCATTAATTATGTATATATACTTTAAACAGTCTAGATTTAATATTAAATTTTTATCTATAAGGTTTAAATTTAAATTTTTATTTTTTATTTTAGTGAATATAATATTAAAATAAAATATTAAAAAATAAAGTATATAATATTTTGATTATGAATTTTTTTAAAAATAATAAGTTAAAATTTTAAATTTAAAATTATAAAATACATCTGATAATCAATATAAAAAATATAAAAAATTAATATTAAATTGGATCTTTAAGATTAAATATAAATTAGATTATTAATGATTTTTATAAATTTTATTTTAAAAATATAAAATTAATTCTTTAAAACTAGATCCTATTCAAATTAAAAATCTAGATTGTGCAGATTGCTCATTATCACGGCGATGAGAAAGACGGATCCATCAAGTCACGGGATTGGAAGTTGATATACCCGGAAAGAGTAATAAAATTTATATATATATATATATATATATTATTCCACGCACTATTAAAAAATGTACTTTCTTTTTTTTTTTGTGAAAAAAATGTACTTTCTTTATTTGAAAAGAAAACTTTACTTATTGGTCGAAAATAAAAGAAAAGAAAAGAAAAGAGAACTTTACTTGATAGTTATGATAAAAACATTCTAAAGAATTATTCATAAACCTTTTTTCCGTCCTATGGAAAAAAAAGCCTAATAAAACTACAATGCATGGGATAAAATAATTCCTTAGGTTCTAAAAAAAACAATAATTCATCGTTAGGCTCAAAACCCACGTATGATATCTTCTTGCCGATCCTAAATTATTATATTTTAAGCATAATTTACTCAATCATTCAAATATCAAAAATAGTAAAAATCAACCATAAAATAATCCAAATAGCAAACATGAAACATGACTTCTTTATTCCACACCACAAACTTAACATGAACAAGGAGGCCGCAAACAATGCTGAAATTGAGAGATGTAGCCAGAGTGGGCTATAACTCTAGCATGCCATGAATTTTTTTTACATGTTGAAGAATTTGTACTCTTAAGTGCACGTAATTACTTTCGTTGGTCTAAAAATCTAAATGCATGCAGGCCATGCCCTACAGATTTTCGGCAGATCAAACTAAAAGCTCCTTTTCTTCTAATGAATTTGGAATAATATATATCACCATTTTTTCCCCTCGGTCGACGGATAAAGAAACTTACTCATCAGTGATCTGCAGAATGCCTGCCCAGTCTAAAATCTTGGGGATAGAGAGACCTGCAGTGGAGTCTTCATCATCATAGTGAATTCCTGTTTCTCTGACAGATCAACATCTCCATCTGGGGATTTCCACTCGAAATTCCAAATCAAGTTCGCCACAAAGTATTCCATATGAAGAATCGCCAAGTTATTGCCCGGGCACATCCTTCTTCCTGCTCCAAACGGCATCATCTTTATCTCTTTGGTTCCTGTAAAATCAAACGCTTCCACTTCATTTTTCTCGCTGTTCAGGAATCTTTCTGGCTTGAACTCCATCGGATCCTCCCACACCTTCGGATCCCAACCCATTTTCGCCACCATGAAATTCACAGTCCCGTTCTTAGGAACCAAGTAATCATTCAGAACCACGTCCTTTGTCACTGAGTGTGGAATCACAACACGGCCAGGAGGATGACGCCTCAAGCCTTCCAGAATCACAGCCTTGAGATATGGAAGCTTGTTCAAATATGCTTCGTTCACAAGCTTCTCCTTTGAATCTCCCATCACGGATTTGATTTCCTCGTAAAGGCGTTGTTGGATGTGTGGGTACTTCACCAAGTTCGCCATTACCCATTCTAGTGATGTGGCTGTCGTGTCTGTTCCGGCGTTAAGAAACTCGGAGATCAAGTTGACGATTTCGTCCTCATCAAGCCTTCGTTTCTCGTCAGGCCACTCTAAATCCAGCAAAGTATCAACGTATGACACTATGACTTCACCTTTATCCTCTTTGGCTTTGTTCAAGCTCTCTTGCTTGACTTGCTTCCTTGCTCTTATCAGCGGAACCATCACGTCAGCCTGGTTCTTCCTCAGCTGCATGAATTCATCCCATCGTTTCCGCAGCAGTATCTTTGAAATTCTCGGCCAGAAATTCAGCATGAGGAATCTGTTGTACCTCAAAAGTATAGTACGCTGGACATGTTCGATCCGGTCGATCTGCTTGTCGGATAGCTTCTCACCGAAACACATGAAAGCTAGCAAGCTGAAGATGGCATGCAGAATATGGTCCATGAGTTTAATGCGATTGGAGGACTGACAGTGAGCCCTGAGCTTGTGAACCAGCATATCCGCCACCCACCTACGTGTGCCGTAGAAGGATTTGATGCGAGCCGGGTGGAGGATCTCGGAGGTGAGGTTACGGCGGAGGGCTCGCCACGTGGGGCCGTAGCCGGAGGAGCTGATGTTATGCTGGTGACTGTTGATGATCTTACTGGTAGCCAGGGCATCGGGACGGTCGCTGAAGACGGCGCCGTTTTGAACAAGGGCTTGGTAGGCGAGGGATCTGTCGGCGATGAAGATGGCCGGAAAGAAGCCGATGGGGAAGGTAATGATGGGACCGTATTTGGCGTGAAGACGAAGGAGAAGAGGCTCGAGTTTATTGAACGATACACGAAGAAATAGGAGAGTTCCGACGATGGGAAGAGGACCTGGAGGAAGACGATGAGATTTGTTGAGAGAGGGAAAAAGAAGAGTGAGAATGGGTTTTAAGGAAAGGAAGAGAAACACCGTGACGAGGATGATGAGCCAGCATGCCTCCATGAATGATGATGTTTTGTTTTTAGACTAGATTCGATGAGGCATGGTCTTCCTTTTGTGCTCAAGTTTATATAGATTCCACCACGTCCATTTATTGAGGACAATTTTTTTTCTTTTGGTTTCATAAAAAAATCGAAAATGAGAAAAAAGTGGTCCTACCCTGAAGCAAACATTTCCCCTCAAAAAAAAAAATATGATTGTTTTGAATAAATTCTCATAATTTAATTTATTGAATTTTGAAGAATATATAATCTGCATCTTTATTAAATAATTTAAATTTTAAAATTAAAGGAATAATAAAAACTATACATTTTTTCATGTATTAGTATCGTTCAAAATATGTAAATCAAAAAATGTATTATTCAAAAAAAGGCACATGAGGCTAACTCAAGTAGCAACGGTGTGAGTGGATCATAGGGTAATATATATAGATATATATAACAATTTTTGCTATAAAGTTTGTGTATATATTGGCATTAATTTATCGGAAAAATATTGGTTGATTTTTCTTAGATTAAATGCCAAAAACATGGATTTTTATTTTTATGGCGATTCGCTAATGAATAATCTGTTCTGTGTAGTTAGGGGAAACGAGATGCATTTGGTTAAACCTCCGCGGAGCACTTATCTCACCTCTCTCTCTGGTCCCTTTTCTTTTTCTCATCTCTTTCCAATTCAACCCACGATTTTCATTAAACTACAAAAAATATTCATTACATGACTTGTCTATGTTTCATTGGACAGCAAAATCATTCTAAATAATGCTCCCTATGTATTTCTCACCATTTGCAACCTCTTCGTTAAGTTTTTCAATCCCTAAGCCTCTTCTAGTTGTGTGCGTGCGTGCGTGCGTGCGTGCGTGTGTAATTTTCCATACTCCCTGGCCACCTCCTTCTCACCATATGTATATATAAAAACAAGTTGGTGGATTGGCAAATATAAAAAGCGCGGATTAGGTGGATTCAAATTGAAATTCATGTTATAAAACGTTTTAAATAATGAATAATTGAATGTCAAGTCAGTACACTATATTAGCAGCTTAAACAAGTCGACAGTGTAAATTAAATCTGACTCAAACACTACATTATCAATATCAATATCTTGGGCCCTTCCTCGTCCTGCATGCTATCGCATTATATGGAGTTTAAGCGGGACGACATTTTACATATATCATTTAATTCTCTCTCGCTCTGTTTTTCTCGATTCCCTTTTTTTTTTTTTTTGTGGCTTGGTTTGGGCATTCTGAGCTGTCTGGGAAGTGGCTGCAAGCCTGCAACACATACTTAAATATCAAATAAAATTAGGCCTCTAAATTCAAAGTGTGTGGAAATGGTTGGCGGACACACAAGCACACACACAAAATGAAAGTAATAGAGTGACGCTGACAGACGAATTGATTCAGTGTATATTACCCAAGTGGGGTCCCCAGCAGATGAAAAACATTATTTCTATTTCTTATGAATATATTTTTATTGGAGATAATTCTATTTGAGACACGATTTAGTATTAAATATGAATATCTTTTCTGACAAGGATTAAATATTAATTGGCCATATTGTGAGGAATTAATCCTTTTACTAGACCAAACTTCTGTTAGTTAAACTTAATTTCCTTGTTCTTTTGCATTAATGCTTATTATTAAACAAATATACTCTATTACTAATCATTGTTGTTAGGGTTTCCATACCCTACCAAATCCTATTTAAAAACAGTTTCAAACATGTTTTATGAAAATTTAAAAAAATTTTAAAATTTATTAACTCTATCTAAAAGTTTAGTAAGTTTTAAATTTCATATCTCTATTAACTATACAAAATTTTAATAATGTATTTTTACTCACAACATTCAATGAGGATAAAATCATGAACGTGTGATGAAAAGTTCTCCCTTTGCCTTACAAATGGGATAAAAAAAAATTTCCTCTCTTTCCGTCGTATAAGTTTTTTGTGGTCCAAACATAATATAAGGTTTGGATGAGTAATGGTAATAAACATCAGTTTTCCCAGATAGTGGGCGATGGAATATGAAATAAATTAAATATAATTTGGTATCATAATTTTCTTTTAAAAAAAGAAATATAAACTTTCAAAGTACCATTTTATTTAATAAGGGGACAGATATATTTAAGAATTAAAATAATGTAAGGTAATCTTAGAATAAGCTTAATTAATTAATCTTTTATTTTTTCAAAAACATTTTATGTTATGAGATATGAAATTATTCTAAAAAATATCTCATAAAATGGGGTGGAGGTAATATGTTTTTATTCTTTCACTCAATAGGGGAACACAAAATGGAGATTGAGCTACTTCGGGAAAATTTTAATCATAGAACAGGAGAGTGTGTACTGCTTTTTTTTTTTTTTGGCCTGATGGAAAGAGTAGAATTCTCTGGGCTTGTTATATTGTTGTAACACATGATCTATAGAATTAAAAAAATTGGGGCATGAGATTAAAATAAAAAACATTAACAATCTTATATATATGTGCGCGCGCATTAAGTTGATTAGAGATATATGTGCACGGCCAAAAAAGTAAATAATGCTTGTATAATTTTTTGTCACAATTTACAGAACCTAAGGATAACATTTATTTCATTTCTAGTCTTTTTTATTAAAATGCTTTTAACTAAAAACGAAACTTCTTTATCATTAAAAAAAAAAAGAAAGTTCGTTAATTGCAGTCAAATGGAAATATAGATAACAATCATTGTAAAGCAGTGGCAATAACGCTGACGTTGCGTCGTTTTGCATTCAACGGTTACAGTGTTGTAACGGTTATCGTTAAATTCTTTCTTGTTTTACTAAATACTCACGTTGAGTTTTGCAGCATATAGGGTCTATATTTAAAGCTTAGAACTTTATATTGTTCAGAAAGAAACTGAGAATATCGAAAAAAAGAATATAATGATGGCCACTTGGATACCACTATTTTTAGCAAGATAAGATTTGATTTATCTGATAGCGATTATGGTGAAGATAAGAACGTGTGTTCGTAATGGAAAATAAAATAAACAATAATTAATATAAAAAAATACAAATTGATACACCGGATAGATTAAAGTAAATAAGCATAACCGAATACAATATAATCAAGGACGAATCCAGAAACCATAATATAGAGGGGCCATGACTAAAATTTTATCTAAAAGTGGGGAGATAAACATTAATTTTTACATTTTCTCAAACAAAATTATATCTATTTTTGGAAAAAAATTTGAAGTATTGGGGCCACAACTGCTGCTGGCCCCTTAGATTCATCATTATATAATGTTGTCAAAATGCTAGGTATTATCCTTCTCAAATCTACATTTTAATGCTTGTTATGAAAAATTATAGGATTGAATTTTTGTAAATAAAAAAATTATGACATGAGATTATCTTTATTTACATTTGACAATGTTTAAATTTAACTTGATAACACCAGATTACATAATTATAAAAACAAATAGTGAGCAAATTCTCACACACACATATCCTATCATTTTTTTTATCACGTCATCTAGTGTCATAAAAAATCTGGGTTATTACTTATTTCCGCCCCACTGTAATTTTACAAGTATCTTGGACATATTTTTGGCGTTTTTATTTGCCAAAGGCATTTCTTTATTGTATTTTACTTTATGACTATCTGACTGATCAGATTGGAACGTTGTCAACCTAATTTGAAATAGCTCTTCTAATAACATTTTTTCCTATTTACATGAATTTAAACTGGAGCTCTTTTTTGAGTGATCCTAGTCCATCCTATTGGAATCAAACGCTTGCTGTTTTATTTTATTTTATTTATTTTTACATCAACGAGTCGTTGCTTTCAATCCATGATTAAGGACACGTGACTGAAAGGGGACAAAAAGAGGTAGGTTTATTTTATTTATTTATTTATGTATCTACCTATCTCTCGTATTAAGCTAACACCGTGTGACGAATCATACTTACTCAGTTGTTGGGCTCGTGCAGACGCACCTACCAATAAATTATTGAAACGTGATAAAATTGTCGAGCACGTGCGCGCACAACTACCACCTGACCATGTGATTGAACTTTTTTATTTATTTAATTTTAAATACAACGCAAAGAGACAAAAAATATAACTATTCATCACGGTGGATTTATTTATATTTTATCATTGAATTTACTTTGTTTGTCTCCTCACAAGGTTTAATGTATGTATATTTTGTAAATGAGAATTGATCAATTATCAGAAAAATGGTAAAAAAAAAAAAGTGGGATTACGTAAAAGACCAATACTTTTCCCACTAAATGCCGTCATGCTCATGCACGTACTTGAGCCGCGGTAACAATGGTCGCTAGATTTTTTTTTTAAAAAAAAAAAAAACGTAGTGTAATTAGCACAAGATATAAGGGTATGGTACACTGAGTTTAGATTCGAAAAATTGAGTTTGGTTGAATTTTATTTATAAAATTGATTTATAAGTTTGATTTTGAGTATAATTGAAACCAAGCGCCTATTTGGTTTTTGTTTTCAAAAACAAAACAAAATTAAAGATTTGTTTGGACAAGTATTTTAAATTTAGTTGTTTTGAAAACTATTCTCATTTTGTTATAAAATATAACTAATACAAAGAATGAAAAAGAATAAGACAAGACAAGAAATGAAAGAAATAATGGAGGAGAATTTCTTATTTACTTATGTACATATGCTTTGGATATGATTTTTATTTACATACCTCTAACCATTCCGGTTATATTCTAATGTTATAAAGTTATAAAGAGGCACATATAATGGTGCATTATGTAGCCTTTGAATGTTATGAGATGTTAACTACAAGAAACTCATTCTGAGCCATTCATCAAGATATTATAGGACAAGGGAATCCTAAAACATCTCAAGTTTTAAATCTAGAAAAAAATTGCTATTAAAGAATAAATTAGCAAATTAGCGAATCAATTAATTTAATCATATTTTTGGATTGTTAATTGATATTTTGGATTATTGGTCAACTTTAAAATTAGGTTAGGATGGAAGTTGGACCAGATCATGTCAAAGTGGGTGAGTTGAAGTGAGTTTTGACTTATTGTAC